AATTTGTATGAGTTTGTTGTATACTCCATACAGTCACAGTATAGCTGTCAAGCCTCCCTCATTAGGAGACCGACTCCCTCATTTTGACCGAAATTTACCAATCTCTCTCGAAACTCCCTCATTCAAGTCCAAACTCACAACAACTTAAATCTACTTCCTGTTGTCAAATGATCTCCAAGTTACTACAGGGTGTGTATAATAATCATAACAGGTGTGTCTGAATCAAATGAATGCTTTTTGGAGTTATTTTGATGCATAAAAGGGAAAGATAAATTGAGCAAAGCAGTTTCAGTTGCATTTCAAACACTTTCTTCCTCATTGGAGGATTCATAGGTTAACACCTATGACATAGATCATAATTTGGTCCCTTCCAAATAGCAACCTGGCAAAAATGAAACAATAAATGTACATGTGTAATCACAGCAATATTTCAAAGTTATTCAAAATAAATACAGCATAAAAGGATGAATTGATAAACATCTCTGTTTTATTAACCATACATTTTCTGTGAGTTATTCTCTTAATGATATCCATTTCGAAGTTTATTGAGCATAGCTAGTTTCATCCTCTGAAACCTCCAATGAGGGATATCTCCCTCATTCCACGTTTCCAATGAGGGAGAAAGTGCATGAATCATGAATAAAACTGCTTTGCTCAATTTCTTTCCCTTTTTATGTGTCAAAATAAATCCAAAAACCATTTATTTCATTCAGACACCTTTTATGATCATTACACACACCCTGCAGTAACTAGGAGATCATTTGACCGCAGGATGTAGATTTTGAGTTTGTGTGAGTTTGGGCTTGAATGAGGGAGTTTCAAGGGAGATTGGTTTTGGTCAAAATGAGGGAGTCTCTCATCCTAATGGGAGAGCTTGAAAGCTACATACTTTATAAATGTTCTTAGATAGCCTAATTCTTTATCAATGAGACCAAAATCAGACTTTTTGGCAATAAAAACAACTTTCAGGCTTACCTGTTAGGGTGTTCTGGTATTTGATAGTAAGGATTGACAAAGAGTTGCCAACCACACCATAAAAAGCCTGAACAGATTTTAAAAGGGAGCCAGAATGCAAAGTTAAGAAATGCTAAATTTTCGAGGTAAAACTCGCCTTTAATGTCGGAATGCAAATAATTAGAGTAACCCAATTGAATGATATCAGTGAAACAACAAACAAAATCGAGTAGCGCTTTATGCTGACCAAAGTTGTCAATAAAATATACCTAAATATATATTCTGTGTTAAGATGTTGGATCTTGAAATACCAGAGTTATAAGTTATCATGACAAATTAATGCATATGAAGTGTATAATCATTTTGGAACGAAAGTTTGCTAAACATATGATGTATTTATTGCTGTTTATTGTTTGTTACTGAACTGACCGATTAACCTGTTACTTGGTCAAAAGATTTTTTTCGAGTAACTGTTTACTAAAATTCATCTGGTTTGACAACCCTAGTTATAGATGAAACAAATATAGGGGGAGAAGAAGGAGAATTGTCACTTTAATAGATGCAGTTCCCTAAAACAAAAACAAAAATGATATTTAATCAGATTTTGCTTATAGGATAAATTGCATAAAGCTGTATTTGGGACTGTAAATGTATTGAATGCATAGAAAATAAATATATTGCCATAACCTGTATTACAAACCACTTTGACAAAAAGATTAATGTCTTGTGATCCAGCCACGATCACCAGACTATAATCGCCCAACGGCTGTTCAACGTCATTTACAACCATGTTTGTCTTCTTCTCTCCATCTTTTTATTCTCAAACATTTTTATGAACATGATTGTCAATTGTCGATTCTAATTTTGAAAGAGTAAATCATTGGTAAAGGGGACATAACTCTAAGTATCAAGTTACATAATAAACCTTATCTCGAGCTCACCATCAATGCTGTGTTGTTTATAATATAACAAGACATACATGTCTGCTTCAAAGTGTAAGTACTATTGATCATGGGAAGGGTCTCATGTCTGGCAGGACGTCTGCATAGCTTGAATTCCTCTTGACAAAGGGGAAGGAGCACTTATTATGACACATACGGTAATGCTGTTTTGTTATAAATATGTAATGTTGCTTGCTGTCAACACCTGTATGTATCTCAGGTCTAAGAGGGGTCTGTATAGCTTGAATTCCTCTCGACAAAGGGGGAGGAGCACTTATTACGACAAATATGGTAATGCTGTTTTGTTATAAATATGTAATGTACAACGTTGCTTGCTGTCAACACCTGTATGTATCTCAGGTCTAAGAGGAGGTCTGTATAGCTTGAATTCCTCTCGACAAAGGGAAAGAGCACTTATAACGACAAATACGGTAATGCTGTTTTGTAATACATATGTAATGTTGCTTGCTGTCAACACATGTATGTGTATATGTTAGAGCTGCAGAAGTACAAGGTCGGTATAGGTATGAATTACATGTAAATTAACCCTTTCACCCCTATGTTACTATAGTAATTTAAACTCTACTATGCATTGATCTGGATGAGTCCATTATGGTCTTCAGTGTTGAAAGGGCTAAGCTAGGAATCACGTCAGCTTACCCTGAGTAGGAATTATATCTCATGTTCGCGAGATCCACAAGGAAATAATAAACTGATCAAGAGGAATCGGATGAACTTATCACGGTTTTATGACCTGTAAGTAAGACTCTGTGTCATTTAGACACTTAGTAAAATGGATGTGCATCAGATGTTCTTAGTGAAATTATCATTATTATTTTTTCATAATGGACAGTAATGTCTTCCCAAAGCTTTCTCTTCAACTGCAATTTATTTTTTAATCACATGATTGGGAAATAAATCAATGTGTCGCCCTTATGCAATTGAGTTTACCTGGTCATATTTCCCTTATTCAGAGTCTCTCTAGAGAAATTGGCAAGGATGTGACAGTTCCGAGTGACTGAAGACAACAACAACAACATGGTGTGTCATCCGGAATATGTTTACTATTGCATGTATTGCTGTTTTTATTCATCATAATTGTTTATCACTGCTGTGGTAGGGAAATTTGATTCTTTGTTTTCCCTCCTTCACTCTGGCTTTGCCCTCAATAAACATGATTAATGTGAGGGTAACAATGGTTTTTCTATCTTTTCCCTGTGTGTAAGATTATAAGACTCCTTCATGTCCAGGTGTGAAGGATAGGGAAATCCCTACCAAGGGTTTTGCCAAATTTTAAAATCACGAGGGTGGAATTTCCCTATCCTACACCCATGGGCATGAAAGAGTTTTTTTCTCTCATTCCAACTACAAGAATAAGCTCAAAAACCATGAAAATGCGTTTGGACTGGCTATCATTTTGAAAATATCAATTTTCCCCCTGAGCTTTTTTGAGGAAAACGAATTTGTCAACGAGATGTAGAATACTCCATATTTGCAAACAGAGTTTGCGCAGAAAAAATAATCCCATCTTTCTAATGTGTTCGGTAAATATATCGTAAAGGGTTTTAATTTCATCACGTTGCCTTTTCCGCATCGCGGCATCAGTGTTTTCCAAATTCGTGACGTTAGGTCATTGTTGAGCCATTGTGATGTCACGCCCATTTAAAATAGACTCGGCAAGAATGGTTATCTTACAAGACCGGATGTGAGAGGAAGAGTTGTACTCCAGGGTAAGAAAGGGGTGCAAGAAATTCCATCTTGCACCTCATTTCACGTGACGTGACGTCTCAATGGCTCAACAATGACGTGAGGTCATAGGTTTTGAAATCTCTAAAGCCGCAATGTGGAAGAAGCAACGCAATGAAATTAAAACATTTTTACGATATATTTACCTTATATGTGCAAAAAGTGTTCCACACAAATGTTTCCACTGGGAGTCGCATCCCACCTATCAGCACATCAGTGTTCAGATGCTGTCAAAGGCTCCCGACCTCAGGACCAATTGGGCGTAGTAACAAATATCTTTAGTGTATCATCACTTGGTTTTCTGTTACAATATACGTAATATGTTGGCTATAAATATTGATTGTCCTAAGGCGGTGTCGTAAAATCTATCTGCCTACACCTGCCGGCCAAGTTATCGCGTGGCTGGTTAGTTTGAATCTAAGCTTTGATTTGTGATGAATTCAGAAGGAATCGCAAAACCAAATTGCTTCTGTGAAAGTACAGAACAGAACTAAATGAGATGGAAGGAACACTTCATAAACAGTTTCTCTTTCTGGACAATGTATTCTGTTGGCTTCCAAGGAAGATAACAATTTAAGTCAGGGTCCCAGAATTTTGACAATTCACAAAAGTTTTTACTTACCAATTCTGTCATGGTTATTTTTTCTTGGCCAATTTCATTTCGGGGAGTCGATCACATGGCACATGGGTTGCTGTGGTAAACAAACGGTGTTCAAAGGGAAGTAACTTTTCATTTCATTTACAAGATTTTAGCAACTTATACATTTCATAAAAGTGCACATGTATTATACTTTTTCAGAGAAGAACAAGCCATTGGGATTGATATGTCGTAGTCTGTGCCACGCTTATCAATGCACACGTTAAGTTTGGTTGGTCAAATACTTATAGTTTCAGAGAAACTAACTTAAACGCAAAAAACTTAATGTTGATGGAGTTGCTGACAAAGTCAATGGCAGTGGCGGATCCAGGACCTATCTTGGGGGGTTTCCAAATTCCGGGGGNAGGCCGAATCCAGCATTTGATGCATGGGTTGAGATGTACTACCTACGATGCATCTATGGTCCAAGTTTGGTTGGTCTAGCTTATGGTTTCAGTGAAACTAACTTAAATGTGAAAACTTAATGTTGATGTCGCCGGAAAAGTAACATCTTAGTCTCACTTCCGCTACTTTGTGGCGGCGAGACAAAAAGAAGACAATTATGACGTTGTCTGTATTTCAAAAATACTCTGTATCTATCGGTAAGAATGTTATTTATATTTATTGCTTAACTCATTCATAATGAAATATTCCAACCTTACAATTGGAAGAGTTCAGGGGTGAATGATAATTCATGTTAATTTCATTTTCTTATTTTCTAGGTTTCCATGGTTGCTGCCTGCTCTTGAAACACAAAAGACTGTGGACCGCATGATGCAAGCAATTTTGACCAATCAGAAGATGCTTTGTATTCCGAGATCGGTCTACTTTCTTGCAACATTGAAAATGTAAGTGGGATGCAGATTGGTAGGCTATAGATAATTACATGATGTAGGAGTTCATGGTTTATCCAGTCAAGTGAAACATTCGCCCAGTTGCAGACCTGTTGTCTTGCCTGATTAGCTGACCTTGTTTAACTCATTCACCCTGAAGACACATTTGAACTCTTCCATTTCAAAGGTTGGAATAGTTCATTATGAAATTTCAGGGGTGAATGAGTCAAAATGATTTTGTTTCCACATATCATTTAGTTTTTACAACAGTAATTTTAATGACCCCCGTACCACTGTTAAAAACTGTATCTATGCATTGGAAACTGTTCTATTCTGGCATTACCACAGCTTTGATAAATCATTTCTGAGAAAACCATACCTTACAGCACTTTTATGGAAAAAAATAGAGATGAAGTAAACAAAAAATAATCAACAAATGTGTTCTGATTGAAAAATTTCAGCCATATTTTACCTGCATGACTATAGCCTAGATAAATCATCTCTGAAAAGATAGAGTTTACCATGTGGGACTGTTATGAATAAGTAATAGAGATGGAAGAAACCAAAAAGATCAGCCATAGTATTCTGAGTGTATAAAACCAGGGGCCTAGACTGGGATTCGAACCCAGGACTTCAGATTGTTATACTATTGCTCTAACCAACTAAGCTACCTGATCAATGGAAGTGTCCAGGCCCAATTGTGCTACAGTTAAATTGAAGCGGAAGTTAAGGGGAGGTTACTGTGTATAGGAATAACATAATGCAGTGGGGCAGGGATCCTTAATCATTTCAAAGGGAAGTAACTCAAGAAAATGCCTCCGCCATAAAATGGGGCATGCAGTGTTGCCAATGTCCATTGTGTCCCGTCGCATTCCGTCCTGTCCCGTGATCAAAGTGGTTGTAACTATTTATAGAACATCAATCACTGAAACTAATTTCACATGGAGATGGGGGCATTCATGTCTTACAGAACATTTTCTAGTTTATAATATTTCGCATGTGTTTATCACAAATACAGTGTATTACTTTAAATATGCGTTCGTATGTAAAATGAGGGTGTACATGTTTAGGCCCGTCGTTACTTTGAGTTATATGACAACCAAAGTAGAGAAGCTACCTTCCAGAAATCATGTCTTCACCCTTTCACCCTAGGTAACTTGAGTAGACTCTACCATACATACATCTGGATGAGTCCATGATGGTCTACAGTGGTGAAAGGGTTTTTATATAAAATTTTGTTCTTTGTATAAAGTTTATTAATCATCCAGTCTCAGCATTCAGTCTGCACTGCATAAGTCAAATGAAAAAGGATAACCAAAATTATCTTAAATGGCTATTCAATAGATATAAGAGATTTTTAAATTCAGTTGGAGCAGATGCTGGCTGGTATTACCATAGCCAAATCCTACAGGGGCTGCAGTGACCGATTGGTTAGGATGTCTGACTATCTACGTTCACTATAGCCATCCACCACTGGGTTGTGGATGCAAGTCCTACGTGGGGAAGTTGCCAGTTATTGGCTGCAGGTCAATGGTTTTTCTCTGGGCACTCCGGTATCCCTTCATCACCAAAATCTGGCTCATCCTGAAATGACCATAGCTGTTAATAAGACGTAAAACATAAAAAACCAAACAAAGCCAAATTATACACCCCTTGTTCGAACACGCATAATACCCTTGCCTTAATGTGGAAGAATTCGTAAATTTTAACAGTGATATTAATGTGTAAGGAAAAGGCTTTTATCAGTTTTAAGTGCTGCCCAATTCCTTTTTATACGCCCATCAAATGACGGGACGTATCATGTTATCACGTGAGCGGGTGGGTGGGTCGTCACTAACAGTATCCGGTTGATATCTTGAGAAGTTTTCAACGGATTAACTTCAGACTCCATTGAAATGTTCATTGCCATGATAGCTCGGACACCTTAGCTTCGATATCCACAATTATCTGACTTTATTTAACAGAGTTATGGCCCTTTATTCATTTGCCCAAATAATGTCCGCTCGATATCTCGTAGTTTTCAATGGATTAACTTCAAACTTCATAGGAAGGTTCATTGCCATGATAGCTCAGGCACGGTCGATAACTGCAATTATTGGACCGTAATTACGAAGTTATGGCCCTTTATTCAATTGCCAAAACAATGTCCTCTTGATATCTCATGTTGTTTTCAGTGGATTTACTTCAAACTTCATAGGAAGGTTCATTATCATAAAAGCTCAGACAAATTTGATACCCATCGTTGTCCAACTGTAATTTATGGAGTTACGACCCTTTATGTACAACCATACAGACAACTGCTCTCTCAATGTATGATGGGCATGTTGTGATCCGCTTTCGCGGTACACTTGCTTATGTTAGACCTATACAATAAGAAAATATTCTAAAATCAGAAAAAACAAAATTGCTGTTTCTTTTGCAGGATTTTGCCAGTAGATGCCTTTATTGAAGTCAAGAAGTTTTTTGGTGCTGCTGCATTTATGGACACTTATGTTGGGCGCGATAAGAAATCTGACTCTCCAACAAGTGGGACAAACGGAACAAATGGTTTCAATACGGATAACAAACAAAACGTGACAGACTCTTAAAACCAGATCAAAGAAGACTCTATTTTAAAATGTTTGAGCTACTTGTGTAGCATAACTGGACTGGGTCGATCATTGGCGACCAGCTAGTTCAATTGATAGAGCGTCCGTCTAGAGTTCGGGTTGTCCCCTGTTCGACCGCCGGTCTGGCCGTGCATTTTTTCCTCTCCTGTTTCACTTGCATTTCAAGTCGGTGAATATCAATATCATGTGGTTGACTCATGTGAATTGTCAAAGATAGGTTGTGATTGTACCCATGTGTTCTGTAAATAGCATTTACATTTCACTTGTCTAAACCAATCCCTTTATAATCTGACAATCTGTGTAAATCGGACTTCATGTTTGGTCTAGCAGCCAACTGTTTTGTGCTGGATAATTTCTTAACTTATTTTGTTTGACTCTATTTTTAGAAAGGATAAACTCCTTAATGTTATTATTGTCAGCAAATAAAAATGGCAGGATTGGCAGTCTGTTCATTTTATTTTGAAACATGGTCACGCCAAAAATAAAGAATACTACGGTAGGCAATCCAGTCAAATGTAAATGGAGGATCTTGAATCAATTTTTTTTATTTAATGTATTATTTGACAGCACAGTTAAAAAAAATTACACAAGAATACTTGATAATGCTCATTAACCATTTAAAGGGAAATAACCTCTTTTTAACATAAATCACATTATCAGGTGGCAAATATCTTTCATTGACTTGAAAAATCTTAAAAGTCTTACATACGTTCTAAGTGTAGGATTAATAATGATAAATAGAATTGATTACTGCAAAGCATTTAACAATTTTGAGTACTTCAGGATATACAACAAGTCAACCACAAAGTGTTGAATTGTAAAATAAAGGGGAGTAACTCTTGAGCGCTTGCAGTTTTTATGTTTTGCCATGCCGATGTGTTCAAAACACTCAAAACACCCACATTCAGAGTAAGGGATATAACTCTTTCATCCTCAGATGTTATTTCCGCTCCCTGTTCAAATCTGTTTCTGATATACTTTAGTTTGTTTGAATGTATTTTGAAGTTGTTATGATAATAATTTGTTGTGAAGTTGGTATTGTTATATATGTATATATATCTTCTTCTTTTTTAATCTGATATAATGGACCAGTTTAACCATTTTTTTCTCAAATACCACTTGAAATTTCTCCTTCATGGGTCTTGTATGAAATATGGAGGCAGAAGGCAGGAAAACGTGTTTGAAAATGTTAATTTACATTGTATTTTGTTTGTTTTTTGTTTGTTACTTAAGCATGGTTTTCACAAAGCAAGGAGACCTTTTGGAAAACTTATCAATTAAATGACAAGATAATTTTGAAGAAAAAGAGAATCCTAGAAAACAGTTGTTGTCATCAAAACAGAATTTTTGAAATATTGTTTTATGTTTTGTTTTCTTTTAAGTTTTGTTTTTTGTTTTTTGTATCTCTCCAAAATTGCATGGTAAGAATGTTTGTAAAATTTCTTGCCTTATCTTTTTTTCCACTTGTTGATATGCTGTCAATGTGTCCGTAGAACGGAGTGATTACATGATTACATTGCCGTCAAAAATAGTCTATTTCTCATTAATTCAAAACCATTTTTTATTTTTCGGAATTTAAATGAGTTAATATTACAGCATGAAGAAATCAAAATCTAATGAGAGTTATATTGAACATTAATTAGTATTCATCATTGTCCATTCATAATTGTTACAAAAAAATTGTCATTGTCCATCCATAATTATAACTTTTGATCTATTTATTACATATATTTATATTGTCCCAGTTGCCTCCCTTGGGCTGCTGTTGTGAGTTTGAATTACAATGTAGTCTTGTGTTGAAAGTTTTTCTGATGTTCTAAAAAGGTTAATTGTGTTAAATGCAACTTTGACTATCTTATTTACGTTTTAAATCAATATTTGTGCATTTTAGATTTTGATTTTGATTTTTGTTTTTTAAATATACACATGGAAAACTTATGTTGTCCTGAAGCTAGTTAAGTGCTTAAACAATGTTTTCCTATATAAAATGTACACAGAGTTTTGTTATCTAAACTGCAAGCTAGCTCAACTACCTGGGTATTTGTTTTTGTTATAATCAAACTAACAAATACATCTACTTTTTTTTTTCATTTTATGTCTTTTTATGTATTGATTTTATTTTTAAAAATATTTTTTTTCTAAAAATTTCATCAAATCATAAAGTGCTATTAAGTTAAAATATATTCTTGCCATTGTTACACTTGTGAAATATATATTATTTTGTATAGGAGATTTTTTTTCATACGAATTACTTCTTTCAGCATATTTACAGTACAAACTAGATGTACAATGCTTGTTAAAAATTTTGAGTACCGGGTATTTGAATATTTTGAATATTTAAAAATAATATTAACTTAAGACTCCAAAATTACAGTGATCAAACTCAAGGCCCATTGGTTGCCAATCCGATGAATACCAATATTCCTTTCCAGGAGTTATAGATACACAGTATCAATATGAAAGAGGAATACTTCAGCAACAGAAGTAATTCTAAGCCGTAAAAACTCTGTTAACGCTTTCACCACTGTAGACCATAATGGACTCATCCAGATCAATGCATGGTAGAGTCTACTAAGTACACAGGGGTGAAAGGGTAAAGTTGCTTTATTTTTAGGTCACCTGAGCTTTGCTCAAGTGACCTATTCCAANTATAGAAGGCAGAATACATCAGGTTGGAAAACAAAGCAGTGGGGTTTTTTCGTCCTAAATTTTATGACATCTTGTTCCTGCATAGATTGGGAAAATCTTTACTTTAATTGAAATCAGGAATATTCCTCATTTTTTTTAACATTTTGGGAAATAAAAGCACTTTTTTGCTGGGGGAATCAGGCTTTATTCGGCTGTAAAACACTATCACTGCAAAGCTCTGTATTGGAACTCTCCTGTATAATTTTAACAGGAGTTGTGGTGCTCTTTCCCATAGTTTAATCAAACATTGGTAAACTGGTGCTCGCTATTCAAAGCTTGATAAATTTTACCTTATTTTTGAATATTGGTTATATAATTTCTTTCATTCATTCAAGCACATTCATTTTAGCATAACAGTCACTTCATTTGAAAAAAATTTAGTTTTCAATTCAACATACCGTATGTGCTGAAATAAGCGCCCAGTGCACTTAACAATTTGCTTAGAGGCCCCCTTATTAGGATAATTAAATGTTAATTATGATAGGAAAAGTTTTGCAACTTCATCTATTGTTATCACAAAGGACATTTTAAACATTCCAGTGTGGCTTGAGGTTCAAAAATAAAGTATTTAATCACTTTACAAAAGTCCAACCATTATAAATAGACAAAAATCTCTACTCTAAAGTGTTAGTACCATGAGTCATAGACAATGCCTGTTCAGGTTTGGGAGTGAGATGGGGTTGATATAATTTCAATTTCTGTTGGGGAAAAAAGGAGGAGGGGCACTAATTACCGTGAATACGGTATTTTGTGTTTCCTTTTCTGTTTGCCATCATTTTGAATCTCTATAGATACAGTTTTAGTTTTGAATTTAAATATTTTTTAACATATACCTAACATATACCTGTGGTATGTTTTAACATATGGCTGTGGTATGTTTTAACATATGGCTGTGGTATGTTTTAACATATACCTGATGTATGTTTTGCGATAAGCTGTCATTGAGCTCATGAGTATTTGTAAAAATGAGCCTTGGTCCTTGTATGTATAAATATTGTTGACTATTGTCCTAATGTATGTTTATTCTATCGTTAATTACAGTATATATTTTGTGTTGTACCATTGTTTTACTTTTGTTTACAGGTGACAAGGTTTACATTTTCAGTAAACTACATGAATATGCAGTGAAACATGTCTAAACCAAACCCTGTATAAGACAGACTTTTCCAAAGGTCCCTCTGAATACTGAATTACCTGTCTAAACTGAACCATGTCTTATCTGAACCCTGCATAAACAGACTCCTGTATATACCAGACCTTTAACAGGGTCTTTTTGTATAATGAATCACCTGTTCAAACTAATTATGTTTAATCCAAATCCTATTCAAACTGAACTCTGTCTAAACTGAACCCTGTATTAACCAGACTGTCAACTAGGTCCTTATGTACACTGTATTGTATGTCTTAACTGAACCTTGTCTTATATGAACCCTGTATTAACAGAACCCTGTATAAACCAGACTTTCAACTAGGTCCCTGTGTACACTGTAATACCTGTCTAAACTGAACCTTGTCTTATATGAACCCTGTATAAACCAAACCTTCAGCTAGGCCTCTTTGTATACAAGTCCTTCAACTAGGTACCTTTGAATGACCTAAGCTTATCCTTTCTAAACCAAAGTCCAAAGTCTGTCTAATCTGAACCCTATCTTAACAGAACCCTATTTAATCTAGAATCTTTTATAAATCATACCTACATCTTCATAGGTAGATCCTTCTTCTTCTTCTTATCTAGATTTGACAAGGTGCTATGCTATTTTAACTCATTCACCCCTGAAATTTGATAATGAACTATTCCATCCATTGAATTCGAACAGTTCAAATGTGTCTTCAGGGGTGAATGAGTTTACTATGAACTGCCTTCAGTTTTTTTCTCATTTATAGGGCAGAAAGTAAGCTATTTTTTTCATTTTGTTTGGTTTAAAAAATAAAAGTTATCAAGATTGCTTGAAACACTTTTTTGCAGGTTTAATAGACCTAATACAATCCTATTAAAGATTATATCATAAAGAATGAGAAAAAAAATCTTGTCAAAAACTTTGAATGAGTCATATATTTCTGTTCTCTATACCTCATTCCTAATGATGGCAAAAACGTCATGCAAAATTAAGATAACAAAAGCTGTAAGTAAGAAATTAAGAAGTGATCATTTGATAGTATGTTAACCCATTTACTACTGTAGACCGTAATAGACTCATCCCGCTCAATGCAAGGAAGAGTTTACTAAAATTACATAGGGGTGAAAGGCTTAAACAACTCTGTGTTCCATTGTCATGCAATTTGGCTTTTAAGATCTTAAAAATTTGACAATTTATGTTGACAGAGTCAGCGATATATACCATAAAAAAATCTGTTAATATTTGGTAAAATGTTATAATTTAAATATGTATGATTTTGACTGATAATATGAAGGTATTGTTGTGATATATACACATCTAGTTATTGTGTGTATAATCTGTATTTCATTCACCCCTAAAGTCACATGGGAACCTTACCGAAACAGAGACTTGGCAAGTCCAGTTTAAATATGTAGGGGTGAATGAGCTATTTAAACATTTGTTTTGTATCTTTCGTGGATATACAGCACCAATAAACAACGAACTTAAACATGATATTTTGGTTGAAGTTATTACTTTATCGGGGCACCTGGCATAAAATGGGTATGTACTTATTATGAACCCATTCACCCTTAAAGTCACATTGGAACTTTACCAAATCAAATACTGGACAAGTCCAGTTTGAAAACATAGGGTTGAATGAGTTTAATTATATGAAATACTGGGTATCTTCTCTTGCCTGTTTATCTGCCTTCAACTATATTTTAAAAAACATCTTCTTAAGAACAGAAAGGCTTCAAGTCTGTATACATGTAGCAGATAGCTTTGTTAAATATACTACAAACTACTTCTCTCAAAAACTGTCAGAACCAGGAAATGGTGTGACCTTAACCAATACTTAAATTGATTATAATAATAATAATAATAATAATAATTCGAGGTTTTTATATATCTTTATCACAACCCAGTTTGTAGGTCGTTTCAAATAGTTTCACAAATTATTATCCGTGGTTATAGGGCCTTTGCAACCAGCCAATATCTTTCTCAACTCCCAGCTGGGGAGCATACAGCCGATCCTTCCATTTTGCCGCTCACAGCTAGCTTTCAACGATTCTACATCCTCGATATTAAGGGGTTACGCTCCCTTTCGCTTTCTTTACCTCTGGAATATGTCATAGCAAAATTGAAGGCACGAAACTAGCTTTTTGATTGGTCTCCGGTAAAAAAAAGCCTGACCAATCGGTAGGCTGATACCTGTACTTTAAAGGTTATAAAGGAGAGACGCCCGACATCAAAGCCTGTCAATTTTTACCGTTACGTGACCGCGAGATTCTCTTGATGTATATCAAAGGATCGAACTAGTCTTCTATTCTCATCAACGAGGTGGCGCACACCGAGCCTTAAATTTTGCTATGACATATTCCAGGGGTGTAGAGAGCGAAAGTGAGCGTAACCCCTGGGTATCGAGGACGATTTTCAATGTCAAAGGGATCAGATTTGTGGGGGGAAAACTTGGAATGGTTTCCTGCTACATGACCACTAAAGTATATATGTCCCTCAGACGTATAGTTGTTCTGTATACCAGGAAGCTTGCTGGAGAAAAAAACCACCAATGTTTGCGCAAATAAAATATCTTAATCCATGTTCAAGTTCATGCAATGCAGTTGTGTTGAAAATAAAAACCAAGTAAGCCAGGCGCGCAGCTGCATATACGCTGATGAATCCACACAATTTTCAAACAGAAAAACAAAACAAAAAAACAGCTTGTTGCACCCCCTTGTCCCCCTACCATGGCCCAGCCTTGGACCCGCTCCTAGATGAATCCACTCGAACAAGGGCTAGCTACTTATTGCCCTGTAAGCCAATTCTCTGTAAGGTTTGTCCCATCTCCGTGCAATGACTTTGATACTTTGTTTAAGTTCTTGAAAGTGTCCCATAACAGTCGCTGTTCATAATGCATATAATGTAAAGTGTCATAAGAAATAATTCGGCTATTTTTAAAGATAGTCCGAACAACATTTACTACTTTTTATCATGTGACCCCTTGCAGTGACCTTGACAATTTAGGTACGGAGTAGAGAATTCTAAGAGTCACATTTTCTGGTTAGGTGAATCTGTGAAGTTTCATACGGAAAGGTTCAGTTATTTAGAAGATATGGTCGGGACAAGATTTTCAATGTACATGTATTTGTCCTTTGACCCATGGCCTTTAGGGTTCGAACCTGACAATGTAACGCGACAAACCGTTCGTTCATCTGTGAAGTAGTTTTAAAAAAGTGTGTCATTTATAAGGTACGGACAAGCGTGACATTGGTTTGACCTTTGACCATTGACCTATAGGATTCG